GCCAAGGACTAAAACACACAGAAATTTCTTTTGTGACGCTTAAATTCTCGTTAGCTGTTATATTTTCTTAGTGAGTGACATGCATCTTGTTTACTTCCGCAGGTCAGCAGGGGGAGAATCGAACCACGTTGGTGTTCTTCCTCGGAGGAGTGTCGTATGCAGAAATAGCCGCTCTTCGTTTCCTGTCTCAAATGGAAGACAGCGGGATGGAGTATATTATAGCCACCACGAAACTCCTAAACGGTACAACATGGATCAAATCCCTCATGGACCGTCCCGAGGCCCAGACCTCCTGAGTCACCTGCGTGCACACCTGGCCACATCAAACACCCATCCATCAGAAAACCTCAGCTACTGTTTTTTATGTCTATATCCGTCTACTGCAGGTGTTTCATTGATGTGTATCCAACATTAGGCTCTTTAAAGGTGCCCTGTGGAGTTGTATTTTCTTCACTTGGTGTAACAGACCAAAATGTGTTTATCCTTGCAGCCTGACAAACATGATAAACGCATTTCCTTTTTTTCAGGATATTTGCAAAGCTGATTTATTAAAGTGTGTTATTTGCATGCTTTCATGAGTGCCTTTACTGGTGCTTTTTTGTCCAGTACTGCCAGCAATTGAAAACCATTGGAATCGTGTGAAAACATTTACTGCCTCATGCATGTGAGGATAAAAATAAATTGTTGACCAACCTGTAAAATAATTGCTCCACCAGGTGTATAAACTGTACAGGGTATCTTTAAAATGTTTGCAGTCCCAGGTAATATAATATAAAAGTGGTTCAATGCTACTCTCATTAATCCCTCTGTCCTCTGGCTTCTTGTCCTGCTTTACTATGAAGTTACTGTAAATATGTACGTATGATACAAATAGTTGGGATGTTTGAGATGATGTCATGTATAAGATGATAAAGATGCACTTCTTTAATTTTTGGAAGGCTTTTGTAAGGCATACAAATAAAGTCTTAACTACCTGAAATCAAATTTGGATTACTTTGTCATGTTTTGCTTATTGTTTTACTTGATCATTTCCAGAAAGGCAAGCTGATCAGGGATATAAAAGGCAGAGATGGGAGTGTATCCGTCAGCGGCGGTCCGGCTCTCTGAAGGAGCAATTAGCTCACCAACAGGCCTCCGATCAGCCGATAATGGCCATGTGCTGTCTGGAGAGCTCAGCCCACAGCCGCACATGATTTGACAGCGCATGGACACTGATTGAATTAGGAGGCCATTTGCTCCGTGTTCCGGTAGAGGGTTACTGTGCTACAGGAGGGTGTTTGATCTCTGTTTCAGTCAATACCCTCTCCGTGCCTTATACACTGTGAGCATAGGGAGACCTGCTGACAGCTCTCAGATATTTTGGTGACCTGTTCTTAGGTACATTTATGTTCATTTCCTACATGTTGATTAGCTGGAAATCTTGTGCCTTGAATCAATGGGTCAGAAGATACTTATGTTAATTGCAAGCTTGAGGGTTAAATATCTGACACTGAAATCCCTTTGTTTGAGGAGCAGGTGCACTGAAGACTTAAACTCCCATTAGATCAATCCCAGGGGATTCAGATCTGTGATCAGTCATTGCTTTTGGCCCCTCCTCTGCCATAGGGGCTTGAAACGCCCAAAGCACAACACACCAACTTGGACTTCAGGACTGGAAGCAGAGGAGCTACTTAATTATCTTCTCCAGCCCCGCTCCAACGGCACCGAGGTATGATTGGTTTAAGTTTTCATTTTTACTATATAAATTATATCTTGATCTTGCTTGTGAGTTGTTCCTTCATTGAGTTTTTAGTTTAATTTAGTTTAAGTATGTTAAACACATTTAGGACATTGTAGTGTATTTACAAGATTAACTCTATATTAATACCAGTAGGATTGTTTTGAGTAGGATATTTTTTCTGACTCCCTCATGGCTCACATCAGCTTTTACTTGAAAGAAAAAATGTATGTATTTGTTTTACACAGCAAGCTGCGTTTTCTATCTTTTTTAATATTTATTCTATACAATTATACATTGAGGGAGAACTGTCATTTTAATCTGAGCCAAGGTTCATACAATTAATGGAGAAATAACTAAAATTGAAGAACAAAAGTATACATGGATATGTCAATTAAAACAAAAATGAAGGAAAAACAGCAATTAAAGTAACGATCAAGGTCATAAGTTATCTAAACGAAAAATATTCTTTGGTCTTAAAGTCGTGTTGCTGCATGTCTGTCTAACATCAATGCTGGAGAACAATCTGTAGTCTTTTTGACAAAGAAAGTGGATCAATATTGAACCAATTTAGTGCAATTCACGGATAAATTATTAATAGTGTTCTTTTGACAATAAAGCCTCTTCAGCTTCTAAAAGGCTAGAAATAAATCGATTTGCACTTCTGATATAAATAAACCTGCATACTTAAATAATACATAAAGCACTAAAAAGAATGTACTTACATCGAGAGGTACTCAAATATTTTACATAAGTTAAAGTAGTAATACCACAGTGTAGATATACTCTACACTGTACAAGTGACTCAAAGTACTATTTATAGTATAGCTCTATTTATAATTATATACTATTAATAAGTATAGGCAAATAAAATATATATAAAGTACCATAAAGTATTTCCTCTGCACAAAGGCCCATTTCAGAAAAATATGTATTATGAGGTTCATTTTTAATAATTTGTCTCTGTAGTAAAGTATAAAGTCATATAAAATGGAAATACCTCAAGTTAAGTACTTCAAAATGGTTCTGTATGTCACTTGTTACTGCTTGAGTAAGTATAGGATTAAGGAACATACAAGTCATTTATTTTATCTTATGTTCTTTGTCTTATTTTATTATATTACCCTGAGTGTTAGTGCAGTGAACGACCACCTTGTTCACATTACAGTTGTTTTCTACTTTTGTATTCTATTGTGAAATTCAAATTAAAAAGGTGTGTGTTTGCAGGATGGGTGGAGGTGAGAACATGGGACAGCTGGCTCAACCTTGTCGCAGGCAGAAGATGCAGCAGGACCATCTGGATGTGGACCCGTTGTTTATCCGCTTCCTCCGGACGTTCAAGGAAGTCCTCAAATTTGTTCTCTTCAGCTACACGGTGCTGTTTGGTGCTCTGCTCCTTGCCAGATGGACCACTTATTTTATGTTGGGGAAATGAAAAGAGAGTGACTGTTGACGAATGAGCCTGTTCACAGACTTAGAGCTCATTAATGAAGTTGATCAGGCAGACCTGCTCTGGATTTGTGGTCTATGCAGTTCCTATCAATTATTAATGTCTCCCACACTCAACAATAACAACTGGATTGATCATGTTTGCTTCTCCTTTTGATTAACACTCTGCATTAGTGCTCACAGCTACAGTGTTAGGTTTTTTAAAAATAATCCAAACAGGGTTTTACAGGCACTTAGATTGAATGATACCCATGTTAACCATGCCAACTTGCATCAAATGTGTTTGTTCACAATGCTTAAATGTGCAAATTAGAAATTGTTATATCTGCTGTGTTGCAAAATGACCACAGTGAAGCTATAAAACAGTATTGTATGGTTATGTAGCACACAAAAAACAGTATTGTGTATTCTTGTAGATAAAATCTTGAAAGCTGTCTTTTTCCTTGTGGAAGCACATGTACAATATGTCAAAACGTTTTATGTTAGTAAGACATAAAAGCAGTGGGACGTCAGCTGTTATTGTGACAAAAAAAGCTGTTCCTTGGTGCTGAATCACCAGAAAGGCGAGCTGCCCCGAGGCCCTATGCTCCCAGAGCTTCGGAAGATTGTATTGCACACTATTCTTTAATAAATTGGTAAATAATTGAAATATTAAATACTCGACCAAATTACAATATCAACTTGAATGTTTGGCCTGCTTTATTACCTATCTTGACATCCTGTTCTGTAAGTTGAATTGAAATGTGATGGCCTTTATCATGTTTAATTTATATCACACATAATAAGTTCCTAAGGGTTAAAATACCAACCATGCTGAAATGTCACAGTTTGTAATCTTTCCCCCTTGTTTCGTCACCTTTCTGCTGACACTGTCTTATAAAAGGCAAAAGAAAGTGCCAAAAATAATAATACATCTTAAATATAAATATAAAAATGGAATTGGGAGAGGGATGAGTCAATAGTCCTTCTTCAAACACATGGAAGACTGTTTTACATGTCACAGTGGGAGAAGCACAGGTGTAATACATTTAATATTGGCTGATTTACATTTAGCTTCTTCAGATTTTTGATATTGTGTGCACTGCTTCATTGTCACACTGTCATAGCTTGTTGGGACATTTAAATTGAACATTTAGTGACCGCTGAGATTCACTAACTATGACAACACAAAATGTCTGGTTGTGACAAAGCCTACTTTAGGGTCCCCCCTAAAATAGGTGCCCTGGGTTCCCAGTGCAGGTAAATGTGACTAATCTGTAGTTTGCATGGTAGTTAATTTGTCATTAAAATAGATTGGAATTCTTCAAAACAGCTATCTGTCCAGCAGACGAAAGACAATATGGCAGATCCTTTGGAAGCTCAGTGGAAGTTGCAGGTGGTAAATACTTTTAGCCTATGGTGCCAACACAGATTTTAATGTTTTAATTATGTGTCAGGAGTAGCGTCCCAAACATGTAATACATAATTTACACAACTACTATACATATTTAGATGAATAATTGAATTATCTTTAGATACATCTCTTGCATGTAGGCCTTTTCTTTTCTAAATTAAACTAAAGTTTGCTTCGTTTTTGCTCAGAACCAAAAACTAACCCTGGGTGTGGGTTTGTTCGATTTTCATCCCCGATACAACCCACATGGGCGGGGTTACGTTATAACATGGTTTTCTGGTAGAAAAAAAGTCTAAATAACTTTGAATTGAAGATTAAACGTTAAATAAATCAATTAACCTGCTCTCTGGGGACAGCAAAAAGACCCATATCCACGACGGACCAGGAGTAATTAAGATTAAAATGTCACGGTGCAGTCTCACCGCTCTCTGTTTGACGCCTGCTGAACGCCGCCCGCGTTGCGCCATTTTGAAAGTAATACTGGGAGAGGCAGAGGCGAGGGAAATCTCAAAGTAGAGTGCAAAGTCTAAAATTCACTTCTGAGGATTTGCAGTTATTTTTATTTAATTAAAAAACGGTGTCCTGCTGTCTATATCATCCGAGCTGACGACTTGGACGGTGTTCGGATTTAATAGCAGCACTCCCCGGTGTATTCCTGCACTGCTCCTCTGTCAGAACCAGCAGCCGACCCGGGTCAGCTCCGGTCCAGGGCCCGATACAGAGACACCCTGTCTGAGTCTCTCACCATGGCAGGTAAGACTACCGAGAAAACACTGCCAGAGTGGCTGAGGTTTAATCATTTTTCTGCACTTAATATCCTGTTCTGCACAGATGATGGGTTTGTCTCTGTTGTGGTTAACTAGCGCAGGCTAGTTAGCAAGCTAGGATACCTACAATATGCTAGTGTGTGCTAATGACAGTGTGAAAGTAAGAGTTTTAGAATGCTAAACATGCCTAAACGATTTCCTGTTGCATGTGAATATGTTACATTGCTAAAATAATGCAATAAGAATAAAGTAGCAGAGTCTATGTACTCACTTTACTGATTTTAGCTAAGTTAGCAGCACCATGCTAACGCGTGTAAAGTTGTCTTTGCTGGTGGTTTGTTAAAACTTGGGTATGTGTTTTGTGCAGGGGCCGGCGGTGGGAACAGTGATGTGCAATGGTGCTTTTCACAAGTCAAAGGAGCGATAGATGATGATGTTGCTGAAGGTAAGTCCATGTGCTGGTCCACTGAACATTTGCTAACATGCACTGTCTGATTGGCATCCTGTGCATGTTTTTTTGAAGTAAGCTTTAATGCTACTGCCACACATTTTGTTTTAGCTTTTCATAAAAGTTATATGATAATTACAAATTAAGAGAATTAACCTGTTTTCACTGAATGTTCATTATTGTGGCACTTCCCTGCTGATTTTCCAGTGGGCCAGACTGGTTAAATTGGCAGACTAGAGAAATATTTGCTCCAAAATGTCAAAAGTCACAACTTTTAAACTCCCCATAGTGGATTTGTCCAGTGCATGTGATGCTAATTTGGCATTATTGGGAGGGAAATGCACATCATAATGGAATAGATTTAAGGTTTTTACTTCTGCGGGAGAAGGGCACCTCGTAATCAATGAGGAACTAAATATATAAGTACGTTTATTTGGTCGAGAAATCAGTTAACCTCAAATATGTCTCAGAGTGCATTAAAGTCCTGCTTTTCCGAAGGGTCTGATTGGCCAAGTCAACATAAAACAAACATCTTAGTTTTTGATATCTAGCCATGCAGATGCTCTTATATTGTTTGACTATTACTGCAATCCTAATTGGAGCGAAGGTAAATTAATTTGTGGTGATCAAAGCATAACAATATGCTTTACAAACTTTGTGCTGGTTCCTTAAGATAATCCTTTTCAGGAACATTTCATTTTCATTCAACTATTTTCATTCATATAGTAGTTCACACTACAAAAGAGGTTAGGTATTATATCTGTGATTATCCTTATCTTTATGTGATCTGGATAAACTAGTTATTGCGCCACAATAGGTCAAACTAACAAAGTAGATGAGGATAATAAAGTGCACAACTATTGTGCTAAGTAGGACATTTCCATATTTATGCTGGACCTTTTACTTCGTATATGAAAGGGAAAAAAATGCTAGATTGTCCCACCTCTTTTCCCACTGTCCAATGAGTTATTTCACAAGTGCTTTTAACACCTATGTTTACAGTACATGATGTACCTATTTGTGTGTAAATAACTACACAGTTGTTTACAGTAAGCTTTGTTGCATAAGTTTTGACGTTAGCCATTGCTTGTGTCAATACATGGCAGTACACAGGCTGAATACTTAACTATAATAGCTGTAGCTTTTACAGAAATAGTAGTCTTTAATACGCTGTCCTCGCTTTGTATGAGAGTTTGTATGGGGTCAGATCGTATCAGGCACTATGTGCGCTGGGTTTAGAGTGGAACAACACCATAGTCTATATTAAGGATTGCACAAGCTCAGAACAGTGCCAGCCTGTAAACAGGGATTGATTGTTGTATTGTAGCATTTGATGAGAATGCTTGTCTTTGAAAAGTGCAGAATAGCTGCAAAGGGCAAGATGTTTTACCCTCCAGAGTGCTCAGTAGCTCCATGATTGCACTTGCACCCTGCACTGTGCATAAATACATGTACGTCACTGCTCTGTTGTCTTTTCACCATGTCACTGTACAGTATTTGTATTACTCCTCGAAACATTTTGTACACTATTGTAAAAAATGTTAAACCCCAAAATTCTGCATACCTGCATCAAAAATCTTCTTACATTGTACACACACATATTTAATTTTCTAATCACACTACTTTATTTATAGCTGACATCATATCTACTGTTGAATTCAACCACTCTGGCGAGCTGCTAGCCACTGGGGACAAAGGAGGACGTGTTGTCATTTTTCAGCAAGAGCCAGAGGTACGTTTTGGTGACTTATCAGACTGATCTTAGTCTGGTGCAACCTTTATTTTTCAAATCTGATATATCCATAGCTTAGTCAAGCTGTTTTTAAATTGAACTGAACTCAGAATTTAAGCTAATGATTGCCTGTGAAATTAAAAAGAAAACGCTGGTGCTTCGGATCATACATGACCTGAAATACTGTCTTTTGATCTATTTCTAGTCAAATAATACCTAAACTTCTCTCTGATATGTCTTTGTTCAGAGTAAGAATCAGCCGCAGTGCAGAGGAGAATACAATGTTTACAGCACCTTCCAGAGCCATGAGCCTGAGTTCGACTACCTGAAAAGCCTTGAGATCGAAGAGAAGATCAACAAGATCCGATGGCTGCCTCAGAAGAACGCAGCACAGTTCCTGTTGTCTACAAATGGTTAGTAACCCAGTGTATTCTGAGTTGGTGATATTTCTCATTTGAAAATGAAACCTTTCCGTCTGTACTATTCTGTTACTGAAGATGAGCTTTTCATGATGCATGCTCGTTCTTATTCGCAGACAAAACCATAAAGCTGTGGAAAATTAGTGAGCGTGACAAGAGACCAGAGGGCTACAATCTGAAGGAAGAGGATGGGCGATACAGAGATCTTAATACCGTCACAACACTACGGGTGTGTATGAAATATTTGATCATTTCCTACAATATTTAACATGTATAAATTGTTAGAATTTACCGTTTTTTAATGGACAGACATTATTGCAGACAGACATCTCTTACCACCTAAAGCACAGGTTTATAAATCCATTCCTGCAATCCAGCAATAATGTTTATAATTACATCTGAGGTTGCAGTCAAAATGTCAGCTCAGAAAAATGTCCAGCTGAAGTTTCATTCCACATTTTTCCCCCTTGTCATGTTCATCCTCCCCTTTGGGACACACGGATCTATATATATTGAATAGTTTCCAAATATAGACTCAGTCTAACAGTCTGGCGTGTTACACAGAGGCTAGTCCCTATTTATCTTTGTTTAAAGAGACAGTTAACTCTTCCTGTTTGTCAGTTTAGTGAAACCCTTTTTTACCCCCCACACAACCAGTCAAAAATGTGATAAAAACGGAGGACAAAATGATCACACCACACTTTCCTTTTAAATTAAAGTGATGCTAACCCCACTTTCTCTCAGGTACCAGTATTCAGGCCCATGGACCTGATGGTGGAGGCCAGCCCTAGACGAGTGTTTTCGAATGCTCACACCTACCATATCAACTCCATCTCGGTCAACAGTGACTGTGAGACATACCTGTCTGCAGATGACCTGCGCATCAACCTGTGGAACCTGGAGATTAACGATCGCAGCTTTAGTATCCTTTTGCTCTCTAACTCCATGCCTCCACCGGCTACTGTAGGGCTTAACATAATAGTGAATTTCTGTCTAACTTTAATTATCTCTCTAATGGTTAGAAAAGCATTGCATTTGCAAGAATTCTTACTGTACTGGGAAATGCCACCCATGTATCCTCTGCAACAACACAGAAACAGCGTTTTTTACTTTCCACATTTAGTCAGAAAAACAATTAATCCTTTGCATTATAAAAGACAAACAAACTACGATTTTCTAGTTCTATGCTGATGTAAACAGTAGACACTATTTAAGTGCAGACCAAACATTGTTAAAATAGTCTGTCGTATTTCATTCTACCACCAGATGTCACCAAAGTATTATTCACTTTTACATAGAGTATCACCAACATACAGTTGTATACATTGTATAGTTAAATGTGTACATTTGGCAGTATTTTTAGTTTAGAGAAGTGTTTAACCTGTATTGAGCTGACTTTGTGACTTTATTTTGTGGCCTTCCTCTCTAAAGTATCAGTGCCAGTGAAATACTACAGGACATTGTAAGTGCATTTAAACAAATAAAAAAAGTGCTGATTGCGCCCCTAACAAGGTCAGAGCAAGGTATTCTTATTTATTTGTCAACCTATCAAACTATAAAAAACATCTTTATTTGCTGATCCATAGCAGTGTTCATTTTAAAGTGGTAAGAATTTCTTGTGTAAGCCGTTTGACCTTAACCCCACTTCTCCAGACATTGTTGACATAAAGCCAACCAACATGGAGGAGTTGACAGAGGTGATCACAGCGGCAGAGTTTCACCCCAACCAATGCAACACTTTTGTCTACAGCAGCAGCAAGGGCACCATCCGCTTGTGTGACATGAGGGCATCAGCACTGTGTGACCAGCACGCCAAACGTAAGCCAGCTTCATTGACACTGTGCCTGCAGGGGAGCTGCTCAACTCTGAAGTGTTGGCTGGATGTTGGACAGTGAAATAGGGACATTAGTGAAAGACATTTCTGTCAAGACAGCTTGACCTCCAAACAGTTACAATTGTGAGCCCAGTCTTTTACGTGAAGTGCAGTTGCCATAGCCTATTTATCAACACCAGGGTTCTTACGGTCATTAAAAACCTGGAAAAGTCATGGAAATTCAAAATGCTAATTCCATGCCCTGGAAAAGTTATGGAAAACAATGTTTTTCCCAAAGTTTTGGAAAAGTCATGGAAATGTAACTAAAGTTGCATCAAATATAATTTATATGTTATCTAATCGCCGAAATAGTAATAAGATAATGATAATAAATACTGTATAGTAATGAAACGTAAAATGGCATTTAACTGACGAGGTATTTTGCTGGTGAGAGATGTTAGTAGCTTTAGCGTGTAGAAGCTAGTAAGCCTACTATTTGATTTGTTTTAGATAGGCACAACATGTTTCAAATGCAGACCTTATTTTCCTGTTCCATGTTAAAATAAACAATTTTCAGTGGCACCGCTGAGAGTAATTTTTTTGGTCATGGAAAATTAGGTAAAGGTCATGGGGAAAGTCATTGAAAATCATTGGTGAAAAAGTGTATGAACCCTGCAACACACAAGTTGACTAGAGTTGAATTTGAGTCAGACATTTTGTTTGAAAGGTAGTTTTAACAGTTAAGATACAGCCAGTGTCAAGAAGTCAGTTTTAACGGTTTTAACCAAGGACTGGGGCCGTTTCTCAATCGCGAGTAAAACTGCTGCAGAGCAACTATTTCAAGTATACTACGTCATCGAGTGGCACCGAAGGACTGTTTAAATTCATGTTAAATGCCCAACATGCTGCGCCACTCTGTGACGTAGTATACTTGAAATAGTTGCTCTGCAGCATGTGTGCTCACGATTGAGAAACGGCCACAGTTTCCTAAGAAAAAGTTGTAATTAGTGAATGACATACACCTGGCCAGTTGTGTGAAAGGTGGAAGGTTGTGTCACAGAGACATCGTTAGTGTTATTGGTAACACCTGGGATCTTCCCTCCATGACAAGTGAAAGTGTCCTTCTGAAAAATGCTCAAGTATAACTTCCTATATTTCTCAAGAGTTGTACAATGCCAGTTGCAGCAAGTGCAGCTAAATATGCTGATATATATTGTTAAACAGTATTTAGACTCAGTAAGTACTTAATTTAGGGTTCGATCCCCAAACTGCTTCTGATTTTTGCTGTTGTTATCTTTAGAGGAAGCAGTATTGTAAAAACTTGATGCATATACTAATATTCCAAAATGTTGCTTGTCAATGCAATTATTAGCAATCAGGGTGTACTAATGACACGTGTTATTTTTATTTTTTAAAGAGTTTGAAGAGCCAGAGGACCCGAACAATCGTTCATTCTTTTCTGAAATCATCTCATCCATCTCTGATGTGAAGTTCAGCCACAGCGGACGCTACATGATGACCCGCGACTACCTGTCAGTCAAAATCTGGGATCTCAACATGGAGTCCCGGCCAGTAGAGACATATCAGGTCGGTAACTGTTGCTGTGCTGAGACTAGGGCTGCCCCGAATACCATTTTTCGGGCTCTGGATATTCGGTAGTAATCAGCAGCGAATATTTCGGGGGGGGCGGCGGCGGCGAACCGCTTCAACACGTGTATTTCGGTTTATTCACGGCATTCATTTTGTTATTCTGTGTGTACTATAGGACAATACAAAACAGTTTAAAAGGGGAGTGATTAGTAAAATATGCATAAATAAAAAGAAAGAATGCTAACTATGTAAGATAAGAATAAACAAGTTTAAATGATTTGTTATTGGTTGTGATAATATTCTAAAGATAATTGGAGTATTGAAAAGTATACAGCTCCCTTTCATATGAGTGTTGAGGGCTGTATCCACAAATTCATTTTGTGCTCAAAGTGCATCAGATTGAGGCATTTCACTTCAACATTTAAAAAAAATCTTCCTGGGGGTGCATGCCCCCGGACCCCCCTAGAGGAGGTGAGGTCCACCCCCAAATAAAGCAGGTTAAAATAATTAAATGCAATACATTTTCTTTTAGTAAACACTGAAAACGGGTCCCACAGACCCAAACAGCACACAAAGGTTAAAGGTAAGCATATAATAATGTTAAAATGTGCATATAAGATATACACAGCAAAAAACAAAAAAAAGGAGTAAAAGTAGCCCCCGACTTGTTTTATTTTTTTAAAGTAGCCCTCGTCCTAAAAAAGGTTGGTGACCCCTACAGTATTGTTGTTTTATAGTTATTTATTAATGTATATAACCCAATTTGTGTTCTTTGAAATTGAAAAGGATATCGCATTGTGTTTGTTACTTTCGTTGCAGTTGTATATGTCTTAAGTGTTATTTGGCTTGGCTTCCTATTTATGGACATCCTTTTATTTTGAAGGAGAGTTAGCGCTGTTGACAGGAAGTTGTTGTTGCTATGGAAACAATGTGGAGATTAACGGAGAAAAGTAATATCTACATATAAAGACGGAGAAAGTAAACGATAACGTTTATGGTTAAGTTAGACCCTCCAGAAAAACGCGGGCAAAAATCTTTGATTATGCGATCAAACAGCCGGGGTTTTATGTGATTTTATGCGGTGAATTTGCGGGAAGTTGCGAAATATGCAGAAATATGCGGAAAAAATAAATATTGGGCTATCTTATTTATTTATTCTCTCACACACACAACCTGCCACTAACGTTAAATCCCTTTACTATTCAATTAAACACATTCAATATTTATTTATTGTAAAAGCAATTGGGCTATTTTAATCACACTCTCTCTCTCTCACACACACACACTTACTTCTCCGCCTCATTCTGTTTTCATTTACTCGTTCGTAATCTGACCAGCTTCAATCTTGTAGGCTTCTCACCTCGTTTCTTGTAGCCCTCGAAAGGGTTTTGGAGGTCGATGCCTCGGTGAACGTGAGTTGTTTGGCTTTCTTGTCCGCAGCAGCAGAAAGCATTTTTGAATGTTTGAATGAATCAAAGTGGGTCGTCACCGTCGATGTTCTCTTATGCTCCAACACACAGTTGCACGGGGTGCAGAATAGTTTACCCCCACTTTCGTGCAAGACATCGGGGTACTGCTTTGCCCGGTCTTTAGCAGAAATGTTCGTCGGTAAATGAGATGGATTAGATTTTTTCATCTTGGTGTTTTCTCTCTCGTGTGAGCTCCACACATTCACTCTACGGTGTTGTTTACCTTCTGTGATGCGCAAGCTGATGACGTCGTGTCATCATCATCATCACTTTACGTCAAGACGAGTTAACTTTTTTTTCTTCTCAACTTTGTGTGGAAAAATGCGGGGATTATGCGGCCTTTTGATAAATACCGAAACCCGAATAGTACTCCAACTAAACGGATATTCGGGTACAGCCCTAGCTGAGATATAAGTTACATCGGTGTCTTTTCTGCAGATGCAGTGCCCACATTTATAGAGAAGTAATTCTCACAATATCCAGAATCCCTTTGCAATGTTATTTTCAATCTTGCACAACTGTTGATTATAACTACAATGCTTCTACATCCCTTCTTTTTTGTTTAAACAGGTGCATGAATATCTCAGGAGTAAATTGTGTTCGCTCTATGAGAATGACTGCATCTTCGACAAGTTTGAGTGCTGCTGGAATGGGAATGACAGGTTAGTATTTGGTCTATTATATCAGGGTAAAGCATGCCTTTTGGTAAACTGTTATTTCTCTGCTAGATGTCACGATTGTGAAAGCAAATTGAGAAAGTTGTTTGGAATTCCCCAAATGACGCAAACATTTTGGTCTTTGCCTTATTCAACACAACTTTACTAGCCAACAACACTGGGCTTATCAATAACTGTGGTTATCTGCTCCGTGCAGAGCATAAGTGTGACATGGTTAGGGTGTCGGGGGTGTTCTGCATATGCTCCTGGTAGAAGTTCATGGCAGAAAACGATACGTTTTATGATCAACAATATCATTTGGTCCCCCATCACTCACTTATATCCTGTCTCTGCAGCGTTGTGATGACCGGCTCCTACAACAACTTCTTCAGGATGTTTGACAGAGGCTATCGGCAGGACGTGACCCTGGAGGCGTCGCGGGAGAACAGCAAGCCGCGCTCGGTCCTGAAACCTCGCAAAGTAAGCACAGGTGGGAAGCGCAAAAAGGATGAGATCAGTGTAGACAGTCTGGACTTTAACAAGAAGATCCTCCACACTGCCTGGCATCCTCTGGACAACATCATTGCTGTGGCCACCACCAACAATCTGTACATATTCCAGGAAAAACTGAACTAGCATTTGTCGAACCGCTCAGATGATACAAGCATACAAACAATATCTGTCCGTCTTTGCCTGAATCCCCAAGTCTTGATATGATCTGCCCTCTGTGACTTAAGTATTGAATGTGACAACAATAAAACAGGAAAACAATACATCCAAGCAGGCCATCACAAGCACATTCTCCATTTGTTTGGGAAATGCAAACAGGCAGGGTTTGTAGATCTGAGTCCAGAATTTGGGATTTAGTGACGGTTTCTCCATTAAGAGTACTCTATATACCAAGCTACCATTTGCAACTCCACTACATCCCAAACCAAAGGGAAAATGTGTTAAATACACACGTTTTGGTAGTTTATTTCTTTGTGCCATCGTGACATACTTCATTTTTATGTCAGAGCTGCAACTTAAGATTCTGTAGCTTCCATGTTTAATTAGTTTTAATAGGAAATTATTTCTTCTGTTATAACTTCTTTCTGTCACCAAGTTCCTTTTTCGTGCTGGGTTAAAAACGCTTCTAGTACACGCTGTCAACACTCCATATTTGCCCCAAGTATTTCTCAAGTTGCCAATTTCACTCACAGCTTCTATCCTAATGTACAGTATGGTAATGCTGTTAAAGGAATATTCTCATGTTATATCATGTTTTAGCTCATTCTCTACAAATAGCTTACATTACTTCTGACCTTTGACCTAAGCGTACCAATATTTCTGAGATGGTTGTTTATTTCTCCACAGTAAGAAACTAAATTGAACCGAATCAACATTAATTCCAACTCAGTGGATTTCCTGTTGTCTTTGATTAAGTCAAAGTAGTTATTTGGTGATCACGCAGTTAATAGCCATACTTTTTCTGTGTTCAAGAATACTATAACATCTGGCACTTTACGTCAGCTACTTCAAATCTGCCTTTTGAATGGAGGAAACAAGGAAATTGTTCTTTTGGATTAGCGGTATTCTCTAACAGAAGTTTGAAAATGCATTAGCTTCAAGCTAAAAACTGTAATGCTGGAGTATCCTGAACATATCAGCATCTGGTTTTTACACCAATCCAAAGCAAGTTTCCAACCTTTAAGTCGATTTTCCTTGTATGTAATTGTCTACATATATGGAAATGGTCAGCAGTCATGTATATTAATGTGTAGATAATGGCTAAAAACATATACAACCTGATTAGTCCTTTAACATGGTCACAAGAGCAGCGCGCGCCGCACACACATTCGTCAGGTATTGTGGACATGGGAGTTGAATGAGGGCTTATCATGCCAAAGAAACCAGTTGTATGCACCCTAAAGTTAAAATCATTGAGAGTTTTCTTACAGACGAGGTGTCCTTGGTCATGTTTGGAGCATCGTATAAAGCACAGGAAAAAGGTTTTATAGGTGGTAGAGCATGATGGCGTGATGTAGCCTAATTCTGTCGTAGTCTTTGGCACCGAACCTGAGTCCCGCTGCCAGCTGCCCCACAAAGCCTGTCGTGTTGTCGCAGACTGCTTTAATCTCTTGATCTAGTTTCTGTTGGTAGGGATTTTTTTATGATGTTTTGTACTGTACCTGGTGATAAAAGAAGAATAATCACTATAGCTGATTTATTTTTGTATAAATTGAGGCAATAGGATTACAGTCTGATCACTGTAGTTTCTTTAGCTGTCTATCTCGGACTGATTGTAGATGGAAGGTCGCCTTTTTCAGGTAAACCTTTTTATCATGACTTTTTGTTCATTTCTTTAAAAGCTAGTGACTTTTTGTGACGTTTCTCACGTGGGATGTCCCAAGAAAAGTACTTTCAGGTGTCAGTACCTCTGTAGTCATGAGCACTATAACAGTTTATTTTTTTAATTTGGCAGACTGTAACTGATGTTTATTTGGATGCTTCAGAGTTAGGTTATTGGTTAATTTGGATCTCAACTTTCTGATTTTGTGCCATGGTTTTTGTTTCTGAGTAATTAAGCTCGCTGTGAAAGAATAGGCCCTTGTGGGTTAAAGACATTTTAACCAACATGTATTGTAAAACTAAATCGAGACAGGAATGAAATGTCTTCTCCTGTGATGCAGGAGAAGACAGTCTTGTTTATTTAAAGAGGAGAATTTGTGAACCACTTGGGTTGCGCATGATGTATGGAGTGGTCATCACTGACTGTATTGAACATGGGAAAATACTTTTTAACAAATGAACGTTGCCGTTTCTCTGCTACACTATGCTTCAGTCACCAGTGCCAATTCTTTTTCTGGGGCAAACGGGTTGAGAAAAGCACAGTTTCCACCTTATTAAAAAGAAATATGACAGATTAAGCCATTAATCAGGGCATGAAGCTTATTGGTCGACTGGATCATATTTATGTAAGTTATTGTGTCACTCCTACCTTTTTTATAAAACTGATTTGCCACCAAAATAACCACCCGTCTTTATACGGTGGTGTTAAGCTACTGTGGAGTGTCTCTCTCTCAGGGCTCTGGGTAATCTCTGGTAATGAGGCACTTTGCTAATCTTTATTTTGAAAAACAACTTTTCTTTAGTGTCTGATGCAAGATTGTGTGAGGATTATTCACGTAACTAGTCTAGTGTCATTTATGTATAAACCTGTTTAATGTGGCACCTTTATCCCATTCCACAGTCAAGAATGATCCAGTTATTAGCCACCAATTTACAAAGAGTTGACCATTCAAAATATTATCCATAACAAGTTGCTCCAACATTCTGTTGGTGAGAAATATTTGAAAACACAAAAATCTGTATAAAAACGATACTTCATTGCAACAGGCTAGGTTTGTTAAAAATAAATTAAAATCTTGAGTAATATTGGCTTTTATAAAAAATCCCATTTTTGCAGTCATCGGTTTTAGTGCCGGAGCATTATTGAAAAGTCTCTTACATTCATTTAAAAAAAAAAAAAAACTAACACATGAGAAATAATCATCTTTTCAGTTTCCCTCATATTGTCTATTATAGCTATCGTTCAAGGCTATGGTGTAAACCACAAAGATGTTCAAAGGAACCCTAATGCCTTTCTTATAGCGTTAACAAGAAATACGATAATCAAGTATGTTTCTTGAATTTTCTGGAGAGCCAGACAGGAGACTGCTCAGGGGAATTTACCGCTGCTCTGTGATCAAAACCTTTTACCTTCAAAAGAAAAAAGGCTACTTTTCAGTACTTTAATAATAAGGTAAATAATACAATTTGCTTAAATTGTTTTTGAAAATGAACCTTGGGCCGGAGAAACTTGCCCTGCTAAGGATCCTGAAGTCTCAAGAGAATGGCCTAAATTGGAGTTGAGGTTTTTCCACTTGAAGCAGCATTATATACATGTCTAATGTATCACAGGAGTTAAAACAAAATGCACTTTTTATTTTTGTGAATTTCATTGATTTGTATGTTTTTCTTTCAAGGGGCTCTTGAATTAAAGAGTTTGGGTGATTGTTTTTTTTGTGGGGGGGACTACAAATGGTTCATTGTACAGCTATGTTTGTCTTTGTCAAATGGAATAAAATACGATTTAGATGAAAAAGTAATAAAGAATTTCAAACCTGAATTCTGAATAAAATAACTGTTTTATGGTTCGTGTTGGGAAGATAATGGGCTGTAAATGGGAAATAATCACTTAACACACATTACTATGTATAAAACTAAGGCAAGTATACCTGTACTGTTTTAAAATGTAGAACTGGCCTATTTCATCAGCAGGGCAGAGTCCCTGTACTGTGCTTTCAAAATGACTAAATATCTTCAAATCCCTCCAGAAATGCCAGACAGCTCGAATCTTACTAAAATGATGAAATAATGGATTTATCATCCTTACCATGATAGCTTCCATCCAATTCATAACACACCAGGACCCTATTATGGAACTGGAGGAGGGGTGACCCTCTACAGGAAACACTGCTAATGGAAATGCCTGCCTCTCTACATTAATAGTTAAGTCAAGTCAATGCAGCACTTACTGAAGAGCCTTACTACTGTCATCAGTCTTAAACACTGCAAAGAGATGGCTCGGAGGGATAGTCATCAGCTAGTGAAGTCCTATGATTCAAACGTGTTTTGTCACTCATGCACAGTAGCCACAGTGTAGTTTTAGAAATGAAAATAAAATATCCCAGGATCCTCCAACAATGCAACATTAAGACAAGAAACTAAAATTAAATAGTGCAAGAGACATAATGGTGCAGAAATAATAAGAAGCATACTTTATTTATCTCTTAGGTGTAAATTCAGGCAATAAATAAGTAAACAAATTAAACTAGATTAGATATAGTTTATTGATCCCAATTTGGGATTTTGTCAAAGCAGCATGTAGATAAGGGATTGGACAAGTAATACAAATAACAAATTATCAACAGAATAAAAGAAACAAAATAAATATATACATATGAATAGTGAAGGTTACATATCTATAGAATATATCGAATTCATTCACAATTTAAATATACAGAATTGAAGGCAGTTTACATTATGATTGGCCAGCCTATAACAACATTTTAGTTCAGACTTAAATCAGAATGGACAATGCTGTATAATGAATGAATGAAAACTTTATTACAGACTCAGGGTCCAGATAAAAGACAAGACATTACATATAATAAATTAAAGTATAAAGTAATAATATATAAATATGTGTGAAATAAATAGACGTGTGTACTATACTGCATACATAATGAAATTATACTAACTGTACTATAACTAATAAGAGTTGTGTTTTTCTGACATGATCCATCACTGAACTGGCGGCTGCCCTTTAATCTCTTATCGGTCTGGACCATAGATGTATAAAGAGAAATACTCTGGACAGATTTTGCGCATGCGTACATCGTAGTGGGCCTGCGTGTCATGTTGATGAATTCTGAAGCTTGGTAGTCAACATGTCCACCGCTGCTGCTCAACAAAACAATAACGAGGAGCCCGGGCTTCACGGTAAGTACCGCCGCCTGTTTTACCTTCCTCCACTTCACAAACACTACTCCATGTATCCTTAACAAGTGTGTGTGTTTTTGAGAATCTCCGTGTAATGAAGATTTTATTGTAAAAGTTAAATCGGCTACGGTATTTCCTCTTCTTTGGGAGGGGCGGAGAGTGATGTTGTTTGACGTCATCGTCAAGATAGCCAATCGCGTTGTGATAAATGTTTGATTGACGGAAGGAGAGCCAATCGTGTAAGCGAGTCGGAGATGGGCGTGCTCTGGCCAAAATGAAAACAAGTTTGGACAAAAGACAAATATATATGCTGCTTTTATTTGATGTTATTTTTATTTATTTTTATTAATATGTAATTCAACGCTCACTCATTGGTCGCCTTATTATTCAACAGGCCACCGTCTTTCTAACTTAACATAACGGTAGACAATGGTAGGCTGTTGGTTAAGTGCCTGCAGATGTATAGGAAAAAGAAAACAACAATAAATCACTTGACTGGAAAAGGGGGTTTTCAGGCTTGAGTCGATACAAATGTATTTGTTGACTAAAACGTTTGCACTGACAGGAAAAACAGACGCCCGCTTTGTATGTGTAAATATCACTCGGCTTGAACAGCGACATGCCTGGGCAGATTGTTTCCCACTGCACTACAGTTATGCAATACCTCACATGAGAGCAGCCCTGATGATGACATACTTGTAAATGTGCCATCGGTCATCCATTCGAAATGCATACATATATATTATTTTGCACAAACCTAAAACGGGCGTAAACGGCGGCTCGGGTTATCATAACGTGTACATTGTGTGCTAACCCACGCTGTGCATAGGACATTACATAACCCCCTCCTGTCTGGGTAAAATGTGCAAGTTGTTTGTGGGGCAGTGGCACAAAGAAACGCATGCAAACACTGATGCAGTGCACAGCTCGTTCATTTAAATGCATAGTGTATGTGCTGCAGGAAATGTAGGTCAGCTGTTTCCATTTAAAAGGAGGCAGGGGCGTGTCTCTTTGTTGCATGCGATTTGCTGTTGGACAACAACCTAATTTCCTCGTTTTCCTTCCTCTTGACCTTTGTGTTGTCAAGGCTCTTGGGTAGAGCTGGAGATTAATGGGAACACAGGGGTCCAGGATGTGCAGACTGACATGCCAATAACTCCCGCTGAAGACCAAATAAACGCAAATACTGCCATGAGTCAAACTCTGCAGACCTTGGACGTGGTGCCCGAGAGTGATGAAACCCTGATTGGAGGACTAGAGCATGTCCCGTCATCCTCCTCAATTCACAATGGAGACATGGAAAAGATCCTCCTGGATGCACAGCATGAATCCAGCCAAAGCAGTTCCTCCTGTAATAGGTAGGGATAACAGCCCATTAAATGCATTTTAAAGGTTGTTGTTGCAAGTTCCTTTTTTTCATTCCAATATCTTGACTCAGTCCTCACAGGCCTCCAAGTCCAGATCAGGATGAGGGTCAGATTATGTTTGATGTGGACATGTCCAGCCCAAGAGATAGTCAGGTAAAACAGCACATTTAACTCTTAAGCTAAATTCCTTTTTGAGTTTTTTTATTTTAAACCTAAATATTTAACTTCCACCTTTACAGTCAGAGGACGATGGTACAGAGAAAGACAGAGACGAAGACATCCTGATGAACAAAGGAGTAGACTGGGTTGCTGATTGGTCGAGCAGACCGGAAAACGTTCCACCAAAGTAAGCGAACTATAAACTCCACAATAATTCACTTAAAGCTTAAATTATTTTACATTTATTCATTGGTTGTTTGATTATTCCTCAAAGAGAGTTCCACTTCAGGCACCCCCGGCGTTCAGTATCTCTCAGTATGAGGAAGAGTGGAGCCATGAAGAAAGGTGGCATCTTCTCTGCTGAATTCCTTAAAGTCTTCATCCCCTCATTACTCATCTCACACATCCTCGCTATTGGTGTCGGGTAAGTCAGGATTGATGCAGCTCTATCTTTATGCAGGGGCATAAATCCAAGGTTTAGTAGTGAAAAAAGTAAAAGTTTCGCATTCTGCTTGTTATGACTTTGTTATGTGCCCTAGGCAAGGGACAGTATATTCTATGTCATTGTCAATGTATCACTGCACAGATATCTAACTGTCAAAGATAACGGCAGTATATATCTGAAACCTTTAGCTTAGGCCTGGAGCTTTAATAAAGCAGTCTAATGTTTATGAAAATCTATATCTTAATTTAACATGATCGATTGACTTGGATGAATGGCCTTATTTCAATACTACTGTACATCCTTATTGTCAGCATCAGAATCAGAGGCAAAATACTTTATTCATCTCGTGGGAAAACTGGGTTATGTGACAGTTACTCTATATTCATTTAAACATAGAAATGTTAAAGTAAAATGTGCAATAAAAAGATTAAATAAATGATTTGGATAAAGTGAAAAAGAGCACCCTCTTCTACGATATATGTAAACATTTGTATACCACAATAAAAACAGTAATGTGTTAACATGTATAAAGATACTAGTGATGGAAACTAGATCTTTGCTTGAAACTGAAAATGTAATAGAGTCATAATCCTAAATTATTACATGTTTGTACAGATATTTCACATTTTTCATGCAAGTTCTGATTTTTTTTTCTTCTAGGGTGTACATTGGAAAGAGAATTGCCACAGCCTCCACAAGCTCTTACTGAATAGAAGATGAAGCAGTGCCTGGATATTCTCCTGTCTCCAACCATCCTCCTGTAGTCAAGCTGTCTCTCTGCATCTATTATACGCCCACATTTCCCTTCCAATCAGCAACTAATTCTGTCACCTATGTAGATGTAGTTATAGCGTTATACACTTGACGTAATGTGGTTGCACTCCATCACATTTTGACACAGGGCAGCATTGTGCATCAACTTGAATCCAGTAGATGACTGATCCTATTAGAGCTGTTCAATTTAAAAAATATGTGACAAGCATTTGATTTCAGGAGGCTTCAGGGTTGAAGTTTTCTCTACTTGCTTTGATTTTGTGTTATGAGAAATCTGGCCTTCTCCCAGGCTCTCCACTTGTGTCCGTGGTAGAGTGTACAAAACCAAAAATATGCGCCATATCTGCAAAACAAACAAATTAAATTGGCTCTCGGAACAGGTGGGACTTTTATCGCCTTAACTTTTTAAAGCTAACATTCGAGGTGCAGTTATTGGGGAGGGGGGGAACAAACAATGCTGCACAGTGGGATTCATTTACAAATCCCACACATGTTGACTCCTGAAGGGTTTCTTTTTAAAGCTTTGTATTTTTTTTAAGGTTGGAAAGCTTACACATTGATCTAGTATGTAGCTCCAACATTTTACAGTGAGGTTGTTTGAGCATATTATGATAGTGGAACCTAGGGCAGATGGCAATTTACCAGGCCATATGCTATTTTTGTTATGACCTTTTTGCCTACATATCTTCTTCTTTAACATAGCAGCATTGGCAAAGTGCCAAATGTTTATCGTTCACCACTGCACATTGGTGATTTATCTTAGACTGTTTTCTGATATGTTTAGGTATTTAAAGTTATAGATGTGAAAATAATTTAAGCTGTGATCTTCCCCATGTAATGGACACCTTTTACGTTGTGTTTTTCTGTTCAAACATTGATATATTAATGCGTATTATATCATTGTTGTTACATAGCATTGTGTCAGTGTATGTAATGTGCTGTCGTTGAATTGCTAGAGCGTTGGTGTCAGAAACCACCAGAGGAAGGTATTTCCAGGGGCCTGATTAAAGAGTGTTATCTGATTTTATGTAGGTTACACTGTTCAATCTTTTCACATAATATGATACGATAAACAGTGTCCGTTATGTGTAGAACTTCCAGAAAAACTAGAGTAGCTTTTCCTGAAGAAAATGCATGTGACTTCTGTATATTGATGCTGATTGGATAACTGGATGATTCTTTTGTCAATGTTTGTAAATGTATGACGTAAATGAATCATATGGAAATCACTCATCATAATGTACAGTAAAAGCAGTATTGGTTTGAAAGCGCTCAACATGCATTGAAGCTTTAATGCATTTATAACTTATGCTAACACATACAATTAACATGTCACCATAACAGGCTTATGTACAGTTAATCAGTGTGCAATACAGAACGTTTTGGAATTTGAATAAAGTTTGTACTGTATACAGCGGCTGAGATATAAATAAAAGAGAGTGGTTGAAGCTCAATAGACTCTAGTGGATTACTTTACTAATGACATTTAATATCATTAATATGAGCTCCTACATAACATCAATGAGCATTGTATCATTTTAATGGATGTGTATTGATGAGACACAATTGTTTTTATTAATTTATATTTGATTCACAGATATTCAGTTGTTTACGATAACAAAACATGATATGACTTCATTTTTTATTTATGTTAATTTATATAACCACTGATAGAAATGTATTTGATACGTTTTTACCAAAGGTGGACAAAGTACCAAAGTAGTCATATGGCCCATTTCAGCATCATATCTATTAAATGATTGTTTCATAATCATTGATGCATGGATGTGTTCATCGCCTCAATGTTGCAGTTGGTTGAGTGTATTTTAATTACTGCTAAATGCTGCTGGGTCAAATGTAATGAAACCATCATTTATCAGTTGGTTTATCATTTGTATCATTTATTTGTAGCAATAATCTAAATCTATAAAGTAGCTGAAGTTGTAATACTTATTCGACAATATTTGCCTTCAAAATAAATAAAATAGCATATACTTAAGTATCCTACAAGTAACTGAATATATTAGTGCAGTATGCTACTTGAGTAAATGTACTCAGTTATGTTCCGACGCTTGTTTTTAAGCCTGGTTATTGGCCTTTAATTGTTATATATTTTTTTAATGTGTTACTGTTGAGACACCCGCTGGTGGGACTACAGCAAATGAAACAGGTGATGCTTATTAACCTGTTTGAGCCCCATGATGATGATAATCATCAAAGAAACATGGAGCTAAAGCTGAGCAGGGCGGGGCAGTGCGCATGCGCGGTTCCTCTTTGTGGCCCTTCTCTTCTTGGTGCTTGTCTGGTCTTCAGGGACCTATTCTAGCAGTAAATCCTGGGATAGGACTGTTAGGAAAAGATTTAACCACTCATTTAATAGCATTTTTCAGGCTGCATTGAGTGGACCTTTATCTATTTGCGTGAGGAATTGTCAGATAGGCACAGGCAGCCCAGGGCGTCGACTGGTTGAGCATCCATTCATCCTTTCATTGGCAGCTGAGGTGTTTCAGAGAGCTAGCTAGCGTTAGCCGAGAGGCAGGCAGGGCACAGCTGTGTTAAAGGAATTTTCAAAATGTCGGGATACCAAGGAAAGAAGAACATTCCGCGAATTACAGTGAGTATTGTTTCATTATTTAAAAATATATATCATGCATCCCTTGGTTGTGGTGTGTTTTTTGCAACGTGCGGTGAGTGAGCCTCAGGATTAGACCGAAAGCTAGCAATCGCTTAGCCATTCATTTACATTGACGCTGTCACCAGCAGCCCTGCACAACATGAGAGAGCCTGCCATGAACAATGATCACCAGCCAGTGGGTTTGCACTGCAGTAATCTCTTTGACAAGTCCTCATGTTGAGATGGGTAGTATTTTGTTCAATGCAATGCTGTTTTAGCCTCCATCAGTAGCTTTTATTGCTGCTCCTCTGTCTCCCTGTCAGTTTGCAGGGTGTAGTTAGGCGCAGCTTCCTTCACTGCCATCCCCTCCTCTGTTATCCTCCATCCTCTGACATCCCTCTCAGCCCTTTTTTGCAGAGCTATTTTTTGCACAATCTTCCCATGCTGCAGGTGGAATAAGCTTGGGTTGAAATATTTAAACATGATTGTATTGTATGCTGTTTGAAATTCAGGGATTTGACACAATCTGTTTTGCTTTTGTGGTGCAGCTTTTCAACCAGAAACCACAGTATTAAGGGCGTACAGTAGAGATGCCGTGATAGTTAAAATAAGTAAAACCTCTTTTAGAAAGTAGGTCATTGGATAGCATCCATCCAAACCTTTTTTTCCCCTAAGCTTACACCAGTCAGCTGCATAAGCCAGAGAGCTGTAGCATATATACTGAGTTTGATCATTTAATATTCAACAAACTGTCTTATAAAATGTGTTGGCCTAGCTCTAGGCCTAGGGTAATGCTTGGTTATAGAGGTAGTTATCTTTCACAGGTAGAGGCAGGTTATGTACATGCTGTCCTAACATCCGGCACACAACATGCAGACCCTAAGGGTCCTCACACACCACTTGTTAGTTTGGAACAAAGCAGAGGGTTTCACTTTTCAGAGCTCTCGACAAAACACCAACATTGGACTTTGTCCTTAAACAACAGTAACTGAATTCATTCAAACATACATCTAGTGCCACCATAGTACCACCACACAGTCCAATTATCTGTCCATATAACGACAGCAACAGGAGTTATTATTATGAATGGCTTTTTCTCAGTAAATGCAAACAATAGTTTTAATAATCATACTTGTGTCCTATTATTTGTAATGGATGCAGCTAACAAGACTAAATATTGCTAATTCATTGACATGTAATGTCTTATTGAACATTTAAACAAACTAAGAAAAAACATGCTGCATCTGAGAGTGAAATGATTACTCGTTACAGCCATACATTTATGCAGTAATGCTGATACAAAATTCAATAGGTATCTTCTTTAGTTTAAAAGCCTTTTATTGTTACTTCCACTACTCAAAGATGTTAAGTGTACGGTCCTAGACGAGCAAATATACAGAAAAAATGATCATATTTAAAAGAAGCTGGAATCAGATAATTTTACTAATTATATAATTTACTAAATGAAAATAGTTGGCAATTAAGATTAGACAAGATTATATAAAATACAATACGATTCTGGTGTTTAATAGTTAAGAATTAAACAATTATAGTTCTGCATTATTTTGTGGAACAAATGTTAAGAGGTCTTCAAAATATAATCCCGGAGGTCCTAGTTTCTTGTGCTACTAAATATAATTACATGACACTGACAGGTATTTCTATTATTTTAGCCAACATTTTTTAATGAATGTGGCTAGGCTAATAATAGAACACCTTTTAGTTTATGTAACACTATTACATTTAGAGCAGACTCTGCTTAACACTGAGCCCTTTGATAAGTACATTAATTTCTTAGTAATGAATTCATTTCTGTTACTGCAGATTACAGCATTAATCGCAATCTTTACCGCAGAGAAGAACATACCCATATATATATTACATAGTTATTCATTCATTCAGGAATTTAAGGACTACGGCAATGCGCAACAAAAGCCTGTTTGAGCTTGAGAGGATAGGTTTTATGACCCACTTATTGATGGCCTATTGTCAATGCAACTATTATTAATATACCTAATGCTGTCCCTGTCCACTCTGGACATCAGTGTTTCCTGCTGGGAGGGTTGCAGTGAGCCACCCTTGTCTTCATTAGCTCTCCCCAAGGTCCTCAGAGACCCCGGGAAGCCTGTAGGAGAAGTAGGCCAGCCTCGTGAGCTCTCCTTTCATCTCATACTGATCGAGTTAATTGTGCCACTCAAGAGTATGCGCACTTAGTCAAGGGTTTTGATCAAGACGTATTCCCTCCTTTCAAACTAGGAGTTTGTGTGAATGAATCATGTAGGACAGGTTTCTTAAAAAGTCATTTGTCTTCAAATTACCTGTTGAATCATGGAGTAGTTTATTTATCTGCAAGTGATTAACAGAATTGATTTCTTGCTCTTTTACTCTGCTGATTTCTGGATAATTTGTTTTTATGGGTAATCTTGATTTGTGTCTCCTCCTTTCAGAGTGACCGTCTCCTCGTCAAAGGAGCAAAGATTGTGAACGATGATCAGTCATTCCTGGCTGACATCTACATGGAGGATGGAGTCATCAAGTATGTTTCATTTGAAGATTGACAAATAATAATTTAGTGGATACAAAAATGATCTTAGCATCAGCCTGATCCTGTTTTCTTCTTTAATGTCTGGATTTTTCTCTTTATTTTTCCTCCTTTAGGCAAATCGGTGACAACCTCATTGTTCCTGGTGGGGTTAAGATCATAGAGGCTCATGGGAGGATGGTGATGCCTGGTGGTATTGACGTGCACACCCGATTCCAGATGCCTGACCGGGGCATGGTGTCAGCCGATGACTTCTACCAGGGAACCAAGGCGGCCCTGGCTGGGGGGACGACTATGATCAGTACGTATTACATCACACATCATCCCACGTGTGTTTTGAAACCCTCGTTTTAAAGCTTAGTATTCTAGATTATCTCGTTGCACATTTGCGTGCCATGGAGCGTATGATCTAATTTTTGCAGTTTGATAAATAAATCCAACCTGTTTGATTGTGTTTTATAGTCGACCATGTGGTGCCGGAGCCTGGGGTCAGCCTGGTTGCAGCTTTCAAACAGTGGAGGGAGTGGGCCGATAGCAAGTCCTGCTGCGACTACTCCCTGCATGTGGACATCACCAGCTGGAACACAGGCACTCAGGAGGAGATGGAGACCCTGGTGAAGGACCATGGTACGGAGTCAACACTTTAAGATTCTTCTCCTCTTTCATCAAATCCAAATATCACTGACTTAGCTGTCACAGAAGTGTCTCTTAGACGTTGCATGTGGGGAACAAGTAAACAACTTTTCACAGACAATAAAACAGCAACTCAATATTTCTGCTTTTGATTTGACTTGCTCTGGGGTTTCTTTCTTTTGATTTCTTTATTCCACCTATGGCTGTTTTCTCTCATACGTTTTCTATCTTCAGGTGTCAACTCTTTCCTGGTCTATTTGGCTTATAAGGATGTTTTCCAACTTTCTGACTCTCAGGTATGCTCGGCTTCAGGTTGATATCAGAATCAGAATACCTTTATTAGTCCCACAGAGATATAAGTGGGCTCTACCGCTGTCTGTCGTAGCTAATGTTTTTATGAGGCTGTTAGTTGTTTTTCTGGTGGACAAATTGCCTACAACCTGACCCGTGTGCATCATTTTCTGTTAGATCTACGAGGTGTTAAGTGTCATCAGAGACCTTGGAGCCATTGCTCAGGTGCATGCTGAAAATGGAGACATCATTGCAGAGGTAACTGGAACCACAAAGTCTGTCAAGTATAAGCTGTAAGAAGTCGTTGATATTTTGGATTATAATGTCCTTGTGTGGATTTTTTAGGAGCAGAGACGTATCCTGGAGCTGGGATC